TGATATTCACTGGCCAGGATTCCCTGACTTCTACTCTTTTTTAGTTTCTCTCAAAACACCTACAAATAAAAAACTTTACTTGAACATGTGATTACTTTAGCTCTGTTCAAGAGCTTGCACTAATCGTACTGTCTCGGCTAACAGCTTGTGTGACACGTAAAAGGGAGGCCAGATATTTGCACCCATTAAATTTAAGGATTTTTTGCCCAAGGACAACTTGTAAAACCCATTAATATGAATTGTGTCTGAGCTGATGAGGAAAAAAAGAAAACTGTGAATCCAGACCTCCAATATTTCATTGGTGCTTCTGAACTTTTATTAGCTGTACTTGCTTCCATAAAATCAATTTAATAAGGGGAGCGCCGCTTGGCAGTGCCTCCAGAGCAGCCCCTCTCCTTCAAAGGGCATCTTTTTCACTCACTCTCTCCTTTAAAGACAGTGACATTAGTTTTGTAAATTAATAAACAGGCCAGCATCTGAGGACTGCATGAAGCCTCCCTGGGCCCTCATTGTGCTTTCTCTCCTGACCCCGCTGCGCAGCGCGGCCCTGGGCGCCACAACAATGCCCTGAAAGCCTGTGTGGCACTCCGCGAGCGCACTTGAAAAGGCCTTTGCCTCGGGCTGGCTTTCAAGAAGGGGGGACAATTGGCAAGAGGCCTGTGGCTATTCATGCAGAACAGGCAGTGAAAAATGCCTGAAGTCACTTTCGGGGTGGGCAATGCCCGAAAGAGAAAGCCCACATAACATGAATGGCTGCTGCTAGGAGACTGGGGGCAAAGGCACGCTGCTCGCCGGCCTCCGCGCGCCCACATCAATGGCTTCATCCGAGCCCTATTAGGGGCCGAAAATGATGCAGAAACATGAGAAGGGACTATAAGCAGGAAAGGAAAATAATACCAAAGTACACAACGGTCAATGCTTATATTGTTATCCTAAACACTCGGGAGAAGGAAATAATATTTTCGGTGCTTCGCACCCTTCCTGCTAACAAGTTACGCTGGTTACAAAATCTAATAAGCAAAGTAATTATGGCACATTTTCTTGGGGGAGGAAAACTGCACTTCGATCATTAGTTACTTCTCATGCACGTAATTATGAGCGATTATAAATATATATTGGAAAAGCCGAGCTGAGCTGGAGTCGCTGCAGCGCGGCTCCTGGACGGGCTCCAGCAGCTGCATGTGCACGTCCAAGTCCAACGAGGCCCCAACGCCAGCAGTGCTGCTCAGAGGCACACGGCAGCTCTGCACCGAAGGGTTTCAAAGGCCACCACCACCATGCAACACAGAAGCATCTCAGTGGCATGGAAATGGCCCAAACGTCAACGGTGCCTACGGTGAGCAAGCCCAAGGGCACTGCCTGCGGTACGGACCACGTGCGGAGAAAGGCTGGCAGGTCCAAAGAACTAATGGCAAAGGATTCACCTTACTTGGAAGGTATCAGATTTTTCTATTATTTTCTTTTATTAAACACAGTCTAAAAAAGTAAATCATATTCTCCCGCTAGTGTTTCCCACTGAAGCCCCTAGCATGGACGGATGAGCTCTTTGGAAGGAACGGAGACTGTCGCCAGCCTCACGCTTAATTTTAGCAGCGTTTGGAAAACGCCACACCAGTGCCTTTAGAAATGAGCCATCTTCTTTAAAATCCTTTCCATTTCAATACAGATGTCAGCTCTTGGCTAGTGAAAACCTAAAAAAATTAAATTACAATGTCTAGTCATGTTTGGACTTACTTCTAGGCATGATCTCACCTCTTAAAAAATGATCATATTATTTAGTTTATGAGTAATAATGTCTGACTTAAAAAAGGGATAAAATACCATATGATACCGTAATCAAGTGATTTATTTCAAATGGTGATATTTATTATTCAGGGTGGAAGCTCTAGAAACCTTCCCTCTCGCCTCTTCACAAATCTATTCCCAAACCTGGCGTTTCAGTCATTTCCCAGTGGGAACCACTTGCTTCCTGGTCACACTCGCAGCTAACTGCGCCGCTGCTGAAAGCAAAGTAAGACCTTCCTAACTGCTGGGCTCAGCTCTAGACAAGAAGATGCAGGGACACGGTGGCAGCTACTTGCTGGAATCTGGAAGCTGTGACACCCTCAGATCTCCCTCTCCTTCAGCTGATCCTTGCAGAAAGCAAGGACGTCATTTACTGTCCTCCAGCCGGAGGAAGGAAAGGAACTGTGACTGCTCCAGAAACAAAGCTGCCGTCAGCTACCAGTCCAAGCCTACTTTTGTCTCTATGTTTCCATTAAAACTGCTAAATATAAAATGGAGTGTAACTTCTATACCCTTAATACTATTACTAATAATAACATAAACATAAATAATATCTATATCCTTAATACTTGTATGTGCTTCTCCTGTACGTAAAAGTACTCCCGAAAATAGCGGAATTCTTGGCTTTTTTCTTTATCTCCTATTTTATCAATTAGTAACAATTGCAAAGATTCAAGAAGAAACAAAAAGCTTCAAAAACACAAAGACATTTGGGGGGTTTATAAATTAAACAAATGGACATGGGTAAAGCCAGACACTGAAGGTGGGTGGGCTATTTTCTAATGAAAAAACAGTGTGTGTGTGGTTGTAATTCCTGCAGCCTCTAAAGGTTGAATATTTGGGACTTGGCATTTAATTCATTCAGGAGAAAGAAAAAAAAATTTTTATGATACGTGGGTATGTCTGACCCTCCAAATCAAGAATTCAAAACCTCTCCCATCGGCTTCCCACATCCTGTCCCAAGGCCACTGCTTCTTTTCCTCGCTTCTTCATGGCTGGGCGAATCACTTCCCCTGCATCAGAATGATGCATCTCTGTGGACAGCCAGAGAACATTTGCAAAGCATCAGACTGTATCCGAGAGACTCAGGGTTTCTTTCAAATGTGTTGTAGCTGGAAGAGCCAAAGAAGGGACCAAAACTATGAGCTTGAGGGACACCTCCATAGATGGAGAGTATCGTTACCTCTTGTCCAAATTTCTAAGCATTTTAGCGATCACTTTGTTCATACCTAGCGATAGGTGGCTAGGGAATAAATATAGAGATATTGCACCACCACACATCAGAGGAGAGATTCGCTCTAGATAAGCCTCTCTCTCTGTGAAGAAAGACCCTCTAAGTCACTATTCAAGGTACCTCAGGCAGGTAACTAATATTTGAGATGAATCTGGGCTACAGCTTTAGGCTGAAGCTGCTCCACTCCGAACAAACAGATCTGTAGGCGTTTTTGTGTTTTTAGGGCTTAATAAGTTAGAGAGCTTAGCGAAAGTAGATGATATAGTATAGCATAGGGCATAGAGCTTAGGGCATGGCGCTCAGAAGATCTCGCGATGTCACGGGAGTTAGGAGYRTAAYTAATTTATGCAGTTTACTGATAACCCCATGCCATACAAGGCGAAAAGTAGAAATTAGTCTCCCGATTGGGCAGTAGGTGAGTTTCCGCATTCAGCTGGAGTATATAGGCAGACWGAACTGCRCAATAAWYGCCMTTTTGMCGCATCCCCCATAGTGATATCTGTGCTCCAGGGCCCTGGGGKGAGGACAACCCCAGGTCAGTCCAGCTAGCGAATGAGGCTTGCCGACCCCCGTCGGCAACACAGATCTTTATTGTGTAGCTTTTAGTTTAGTATCAAGTCAAGTATCTTGCACAGAATGACAGTGTCTGAATATCCTTGCCAAATCAGGTGCATTTTCTCTATGTATATGCATGTGTGTGCACATGTGCAAATGTGTGCTACAAGAAGTTTCTATTTCTATTTTGTTTTTACATATATAATTTCCTATCACCTATTTATATTAACACAATCAAAAGAATACATTAATATATTCAGATTCAACAACAGAACAAACATTTTAGTATTTCAATTTTTTCTACGAATTTTGACTAGATTTTTTTTTATATATATAATCTATGTCAACTGAAGAAAGCCTTTCTTGACTTCAGGACTTACGGAAAGAGCCTTCCAAAACCCAGAAGAAATATATCTCCTTTAAATTCTTTTGTGAGATCCGATTGGAGAGGGGTGGGTGGTCCTAGCCCTTCAGGGGCTCTCTGATCCTCTGACCTATTAGGCCATTAATTCACCTAATCCAACCAATAGTCAGTCAAAGTCTAAGAGTACAAAGAAAGGTGGCAATAAAAATAAATTAATAAACAAAAGGAATAGAAATACTCAATTCAATGATTTTTTTTTCCTCCTGTGAAATGCAAAAAAAAAAAAAAATGTATAGGCTATTCCATTCTATTTACTAAGCCAAGATACCTACTTGATCTTGCCAAGAAAAAGTAAGATTAAACTACCATGGGTACCGAATGGGTACCCAGCTACAGGAATATGGTATGTCAGTGACATTTCAAGTATGTGCTGTGTGTACACTCTTAACCCAGCTGCTCATTTGTTTGATGTTTATCTACAGTTTTCTGCTTAGGCCAAGGGATTTTGCATTCTGAAGCCTCAATTCCTAACCAATAATCATTTGACTGCAAATACCAAGACTTCTGAAAGAGTGCGGGAGTCAAACGCGGATCCCCTGGGCAGCCTACAGGGACTGCTCTTGTACGTGTCTCCTGGCTTCAGCTTCCCAGGAAACAAACTGCAGCTCTCAGACTTTTGGCCGAGGGTCCATAAGGCTGTCTCATGTAATTTGCTGTCTCCTTGCCATGGAAAACACAGATGAAAAGCAATACATTGCAGAGGGTCTAACTTATCATCAAGTTTGCCCTCCCTCTGATTTTTTTCTTCCAAAAAGTATTCTCAGAACATTTCATAACAGCAATCAGGGCCAGACAGCATGTGGAAAATGAGAATATCCTTCTAATACATAAACCATTAGACAGCACTTGCCCAACATTTGTAAACCAGGAACAAGACAATTTTTCAATCCAAGAGCAAACATCCACCATGAAATCTTTACTAGGGTTTTGAGGGTCAGGGAAAGGCTCCCGAGTCTGATTAGAAAGCATGGCAGCTAAAGACGTGTCTCTTGACTGGGGAACTTGACTAGAGACTCTGTCTGTGATTTTCAGACCCTCTCCATGCATTTGGGCAGTTCATTTATCCTCTCTGCTAATCTGCCTGCTTCATCTTTGCAAAACGGATATGTTAATGTTCTTGTTTGCCTTTGCCTGCCTGTAAGCACTTGTAGAGGGAGGGTGTCTTGCTACCTGTCTATAAAGCACTTTGCACAAAAAGATCTCCAAAGCATAAACATCACCTGTTCGCAGAGATATTCTTTTCCTTCCTTTCAACTCCACTTATTTTAAGGGTTGATGTTTTGCCAATTACCAGGTAAGAGCCTAAACTCTTGGTGCGGGCAAGTGCGTTCAATGCCAGTGGTCTCCACCAAGGAAGGAGCCTTCTTCAGTGGTTCCTCACAGGTTGTACAAGATAGACATAGACAGGCATATCCCATCAGTTCAGCTCTAGAAAAGACGCTGCAGGAATATACAGAGATACATTATTGACCGTAGTGATGCTAGCAATGGTCTGTATCTCACCTCATATGTCATTAGGAATGCATCTGAATTGCCTGCCTCTTTACAACCACCACCACATAGGAGCTTTATTTAGATGATGGATACATGACTCGCCAATCCCTATTTTCTAACCTCCTCAGGATTCAGCCTGGATTCAAACACCATAGCATGTTTCTCTGAGTGTAACCATTAATGTTTGCCACATTTTCGAGGTAGTTTGGTCATTTCTTGGAGAGTCTCATAGCTGTCTTTTTCTTTTTTTTTTTCTTTTTTCTTTTTTTTTTTTACATTTGGCTACAGTCCTGGAAAAAAAAAAACAGCTAAGCTTCTTGTCAAAACAAAATATTAGAAAAAATAAGCTTAGAGTTGTCTGCCCACAGAATCCATTCCAGTGGTTCTTCATTATATTAAATGCACTGAATTGATGTCCATGGACTCAGCAAGGAAGGTAGGACTTGGCCTAAAAGCTTATTCATAGCTGAATAAAATCAGCACTATGAAGATCTGGAATCCAAGCTAGTGCAAAAAATACTATCTCATGGATAAAAAATAGAGGTACAAGTAGTGACACAAGTATGCACAAAATTATATTCTAGGACATTTTTCATGGAATCATAGAATCATTATTGCTGGAAAAGACCTTCGAGATCCTTTGAGATCATCAAGTGCAGCTGTAAGCCCTTTGACACCATGACTGTTAAACCATGTCCCTAAGCGCCTCATCTACACGTTTCTTGAACACTATCAGGGATGGTGACTCCACCACGTCCCTGGGCAGCCTGTTCCAATGCTTGACCGCTCCTTCCATGTAGAAATTTTTCCTAATATCTAACCTGAACCTCCCTTGGCACCACTTGAGGCCATTTCCTCTTGTCCTATCTGTAGTTATTCTGGAGAAGAGATTAACCCCCGTCTCACTACAGCCTCCTTTCAGGTAGTTGTAGGGTGTGATAAGGTCTCCCTTGAGCCTCCTCTTCTCCAGACTAAATAACCCCAGCTCCCTCAGCTGCTCCTCACAAGGTCTGGGCTCCAGCCCCTTCACCAGCTTCATTGCCTGTCTTTGGACACACTCCAGCACCTCAATCTCTTTTTGTAAAGAAAATGTAGTGAAAATGCACATTTTTGAAAATGTTTTTGATATATGGCCATGTGCAGAGGTTCTCAATACAGTAGCACACTGGGACAGTATTTCAGAAGAGTCCTGAGGCATGGGTTTGCTAATTCCTACTGAGCACCAGAAGCAACCTTTCCAAAAGCAGGTATTAACTGGTCTGCCTTTTAGGGCTTGTTGCTTTACCTAAGCCCAAAGATCCCTAAGCACATGCCTATATTTGAATAGAGCAATCAGGTCAGCTGGGCCGTTCACAAGCTTGAAGAAGATATTCTCAAATATCAGTCAAAATCCAGGGACTTGGACATGGAAGGAGTAGGCCCTAAGCACAAAGATGACCTCTCCCTTTTCCTCACAACCAGCAGCAGGGGATTCCCGGCCCGCCAGGTTATGTCCAGCACAGAGCCAGCAAGAGAGATATGAATACCTGTACACCAGGTCCATCCAGCTCTACGTGTACTTCTTCCCAGCATGATTTCAGATAATCCATCACAGTGACAGTGCAAGAGCCCACAGGGGATCTGTAAAAGAAGAAAGCTTCTTAAAAAAAAAAAATCTCCTTGCTGTGTTTCTTGCTGCTGTTTTCTTTTTCCACTTCCCCTTCTGTAACTCTAAGGTCTGATAAAACTACTGGTTTTCTACCTGCAGAGAGTGCTTGTGATTTCACACTGATATCTATCTTTAATTGGCTAATCTGAAGCCCAGAGTTCACATCCCCTTTCTGCAGAGGAAGTTCTTACTCCAGTTCACAACATCTACGTGTGTGTAACTCTTGCTATCTGTTATTAATAAGTATACTCAAGACCTACTTTAAGATAATCAGAAATACTTAACACATTCAGCATCTAATATCATGATTATTTTCTTTCTCTGTATGCAGTACGGACCTCCTTAATTTTCATCTTCACACTTGAGCCATGAAAAGTTGATCACCAAACCTACCTCCTAGTAATTAGTGAATATTTCAGACCTATCAACTGGTACAGGCATTTTTTAATATTTTCATATATTAAAATCATCAAAATTTTACAGCATATTTCCACCAGCTATATCCTTCGTAACTCCTTTCATTTATGGCCATTTCTCTTCTTTTATCCCTAAAGAATAAAAACATCAAATACTCAAAATCTACAAAATTCAAATATTATTAGGGTCATAACCTGATAATTTTCCCTCCCCATGCAGTCATATCTCCTTGCAATAATTCTTATCACACATCCCTCTATAGACTGTGACTATAGAAATGAAAGTTGATTTGGGGGCACCTTGATTAGTCTATCCACTCGCTACTAGATAGGACTGATTACTTCTACATTGTCCACAGACATGCCTGAATTCCCCGAATCTGGAGGCTTCAGCCTCACTGATTTAAAAATACTGTCAGAAACAGGTGAACTCTGAAGGTAGGCTGCTTTACCTTTTTTTCTTCTGCTGAGTCAGTCCTTCCAACTACATCCCACATTGATCTTATCCAACTCATCCCTTCTCTTTTAATTTATCCTTTGGGTTTATCCTAGTTCTGTTGCTTCTGGAGAAAAGTTGGATAATGAGCAAGATAATTCTCCTACATTCTCCTCTCAGGCACTTACACATATTGATCAGATCTCAACCTTCTCTTCTCCAGGTTAAACAGGCCCAGTTTGCTTAGTCTCTCCTTATACGAGAGATGCTCCAGTCCCTTCACTGTCTTTGTCGCTCTACGTTGGACTCTCTCTAGAAGCTCCACGTCCCTCTTATACTGGGGAGCCCAGAACTGCACACAGTGCTCCAGGTGCGGCCTCACCAGAGCTGAGCAGAGGGGCAGGATCCCCTCCCTCGCCCTGCTGGCAACATCCTCCTGATGCAGCCAGGATCCCATTGGCCTTCTTGGCCACGAGGACACGCTGCAGACTCATGGTTAACTTGGTGTCAACCAGGACTCTCAGATCCCTCTCTGAGGAGCTGGTTTCCAGCAGGTCAACCTAGTCTACAGAAAGTATTTAACACATTAGAAATAATGGACTTTCATGAGTGGGGACATTTCATGAATGCAGATATATCACAAGGTTATAACATATAACACAACATAATGGTTTAGGATGCATGTGGCAGAGTACCATATAAAAAGACCATCTCATGTTGGGTGAAAACACATTGCAGCTGAGCTGCTTGAGTAGGGATGACTGCAAGGTAAAAAATCTTCTCTAATTACCTGAAGGAATTTTTTTGAGATGATGCCTGCACAGGATATTTGAACTTGTATCTAAACTCTAACCTCCAGAATACAACAGGTAAGATGCAGAAAAATGGATTTGGTTAAATGAAAAAAATGACAAAGAGGAAATAAAGAGAACAAAAAGAGAACTAAAAAGGAAGTTAATAATGTTCAAGAGATGAATCCTGAACGCAGAAGCTGGGCAAAGGGCAGGGCAGAGACTAGCGGCCACCAAGCAAGGCCTAGCTAGCCCAGGAGCACGGAGGCCGAGCGCGCCGCAGACACAGACCCGCGGCGAGGCGGTGGCGAGTCATCTGCAGCCACATTCTCAAGCTCTGGAAAGCAAAACAAACACAGGCCAAGCACGGTGGAACAAACCTGGGCCCATAAAGTCCAGGCTGAATGAAACAGAGCTCAGTGCAAACACAGCCCAAAGGCAGTGGAAAGCAAACTCAGGCAAATAAACTGCAGGCTCTGTGAAACAGAGCACAGATAGACACACTCCAAGCACAAGTAGAAAAGCAAACAGAGACAAATATAGTCTAAACTTAATGAACCAGATAAATGAAACAGTAGCTGTCTCACTCTCCAAGCAAAATCTAAGCAACTTACTTCAAAATCACCAAGCTGCAGCAACCGTGGTTCTCTTCCAGGCACATTAAAGAAAGTTACTTCCCTTCACGGTAGAAGAAACTCCTAATTCTGTTATCCTTCCTATGTTCTGCTCACATTCAGGTGGGGTAGGGTTTTATTCTTTTCAAAGATGCAGTAACTGCTTGGATCAATGGCTTGCAGAGTTTGGCATCCCTTCAGCCAAATTTGAAGGCTTTGCATATTTTAGGGCAAGCTTAAAACAGAGTAACCAGACCCCAGGTGGAGGAGCTTTCTCAAATAGACATATGTCTATGGGTATATATACCCATATATATGTATGTATATTTGTATATGTGTATCAAATTCAGCTTCTTTGTGCACGTATATAATGTTGCTTTACAGAAAATGAAAGATGGAAAATAGACAACAAGCAATACATATCTAATTCATAAAAGAGTAGAGAATAAGGGAAGCTCTATACTCAACAGATAGGAGACTAACATGAAGATGACTTTTGAAGTATTTAGAAAACTGACAAAGATAACCAATTATTAAAGCTTTTTGAAGAAGACAGTGCTGTTAATCATGCAGATAAGAGAAACATTTAGTAAATATTTCTATTCATATCAGGAAAAAAATGCTGTCGTCCTTCTCTTGATGTTAACGGAGTATTTCTCAGCTCTTCAATAGCTGCAGATGATATTAAAGAGCATCAGATTATGGAAAATATTTTAAACCTGTCAGCACAGATACTTGGTATCCAACAGTCCTGAAGACCTGGATGCAGAAACTCTCTAGCAAAGTTTTAATGTATCTTGGAATAACAGGAAAATTCCCAAGGACCATGAGCAGCCTCTATTCAAAAGGGCAGGCAGGCTGACACAGGCAGTATCAGGTCAGTTAGACTGACCTCAGCCTTGGACAAAATTTTGAAACAGTTGATGCAGGAGACTACTTAGCAGGAGATAAAAAACTGGAAAGAGTCCATGGCAGTTGATGTTACATCTGTTAAAGAAATAAAGGTCCTGCGGAGGTGACCCGCAGGCTGGAAAGCTGTGCTGCTGAGAAGGCTTGGGGACTTGCACACAGGGGCAACTCAACGAGCAAGACTGAAGTGCTGAGGACAAAGCACCAACATTACCCTTGCAGGTGCCAACAGGAGAAGCCTGAAGAACGGCAGAACGGCTGTCCTCCTGAGCAGGCACCGGGAAGCAGGGCAGGACGGCATCCTTGTCCACCCGCCCTGTCCTCGCTGCAGGCCCAGCCCTACTCTCCCTGCAGGGTCTCTAACTTCCTCTAGTCATCCCAGGCGCGAGCGTTGCCGGTGACCAAGCTGCACCGCGCCAGTACAGGGGCTGTTCCTCGCTGTCACCTGACTGCTGCCTCCCCAAGTGGGTTGAGATGGGAAAGAGCAGGAGGGCAAGCACCAGGGCCCCTGTGCCAGGCTGAGCTGCCCCACACACCAAGCAGAGCCTACATAGGTCTCGCTTGCTGCCTTGCCCAGCCGCCCCTGCCTCATGGATGCAAGGCTCACCTTACGTCAGTAAAAACATGAAGGGTTTTACATGAAACTCAATTACCAGCTTCATCTACCAGCGTATTACGCCTGCAGAAGTTCCCTCCCTTGCTCGCTTTGCCAGTTTCCACTAGATTCAGAGTAACGGAGTTGCTCTAAAATAGCAGAGTAAATGTGAGCTATCCTGGGGGATCTATTCTACCTTTCACCTACTAGAGTAAGAGAAAAGCAAAGCTAGAGTAACTAAAATACCTCACTCCTCCCCAGAACAAAAAATTCTCTGCTTTTCTATGCCAGCTAGATATAATTTTCTTCCTTCCAGCATAGGATGCTCGAGTATAAATTTCAAAGCAAATTTATTTTCTGCTTGTCTTTTAACGTACAAGGCTTATTAGTCTCTTTTTAGTGAAGTTTTCCCCTTTTTATTTTCTTTGCAAGTACCATGTGCTCTGCAGCAGAGATGGATGCAAGTTTTGTGCTCAGTTGCATGGCAAACCAAAAACTTTTGCTGTCATCTCTAACAATTTAAAAGCTGGGATTTATTCCTTAATAGCGCATTTCGATGTGTGATAAATTAGGTCCCCAGCTGATATAAAGGAGGACTGCTGAGCTACACCACTTAGATGTATTTCAGAATGAACACATCAGTGGAAATTAATAGAGGATTCCACATCGCATGGCCAACGCTGCTTTTTTTTTTTTCAGTACTAATAATCGATCGCCTTCAGTTTTCTCTCAAAGTAACCATTAGCTGACATACTGTTTTCTTTCCTCTGAGAATGCACGAGAGCAAAAGGAATCTCGTAGCTAATAGCAGACGACTAACACAGATGAAGAATTCAGATTCTGACACCTGAATATCTTTTCATTAACCGAGCTGATGTTCCCCTTTCATTTTTCCAAATAAATAAACGTTGAATGGCTGAACATATTAGATAATTTGAAGTACATTTCATAATCACTCATAACCACTGGGAAAAATACATTTCTTTCTGTATGATCCAAAAGCCTAATGTTTATTGAAAAGAGAGAGAGAAAAAAAAAAAAAAAGCTGTCTTTCCCCTTATGGGAAAAGGGTATCTGAGACACAAATCATTAGGTAGCAGTTTCATCTGTGCAATGGATGTGTCAGGGAATTTTCTAGCTCTATTGCCTTCTATGCAGTAAGTAGCAACTGGCGCCCTGCCCTGACTGCTGGGCCACATGCTGCTCCCAGGCTCCTGTCCTCGGAAAATGAAGCGATATAAACCACCACATGGCTCTGCTGGGCTTATTGGTCATACAGCTTTCTGTGTTTGACCTTTGGCTCATGCTTAATATCTAATTATAAATAACTCAGTGATGGAAACGTCTGGAGTTTGATCAGAAAATCTGATCCCGATACGTGCGGCAGCTACATGATACAGCACCACAATTTCCAGTCCCTCTGCTGCAGTGTAAGATTAGCATAGGGATCACTGCTAGCAAAGCCCACCAAAATACGGACCCACGCACGCCTGGACGTCTGTCTCAAAACCCAGTCTGGACTCCCCAGAGGGTTTCTCCACAACCTTTCTAACCATGGTACCCTCTACCAAGTGCCATCTCATTTCAGCCCTGGTCTCAGAGGAAAGGGGCAAACCAGCTGCCTGTGTTCGGTGACTGCTGTGCATTCTGTCCAGAAACTGCTCCCTGGAAGATGCAGGAGCAATCCCTAATGCGGGAATGCTGGAAGGAGACCGCTGGTCCTCTCTGCAAGCTGCCCACGGGGGACTCGGAGGAGTCCCATTCCCTCCCAGCAAACCTCCTCTCTCCTGCTCTGGTCCAGTGCATCGTTAAGGTTTCCTACAAAGGAAAAAGGCTTCCAGTGGAGGGACATGAGGCTCCAAGTATGGTTTGGTGGCTAGGGGATCCTCAGGGCAGACAGGCCATATGGGCCTGAAACCCTGCCAAGAGAGCTGGCAATGGGCTATTCACATTCTGGGGTTGCGTGTATTGCATAAAAGGGTTTGGCAGTACTTTCTTGGCTATACTTTAAAAGAAAGGCATGGTCTCCATGATCGTTTCCAAGAAAATGACATAAGTACCTTATTCCAGGAAAGGTTTCAGGGAAATACCTCGCTGCTGCTCCGAGTCAGGCACCAAAGCCCAGGAGAAAGAGCTGTAGGATTGAAGTCATTTCCTACTGCCTAGCGAAGGAGCCGCTTGGCCGTGAGGCCCACTCTGAGGCAGCTCACGGTGCTCGTGCGCTTCAGACTGAGCAGGGATGGCTAATTCAGCGTTCTGCAGGCACACCAAAAGCCAGATGCCCAGAATCTGCTCTAGAATAAATCAAAGAAGCAAGGATCAAAATCCAAAAAACCCCAAATCCACTCGGGATTTTTCAGAGAGTCAACTCTGAGGAGGAGGGCATCCTGACAGAAAAGGACCAACCGACCAACGATATTTAGCAGCACGTTATCCGCCAGGAATACAGAGTGACGCCGGCCCACGTTCGGTGCAGCCCGTGGGTGGGTGCCCGGGGCAGGCAGGCTGGCGCTCCAGGGCCACGCGGCGCGGTGTCACCACCTGGCAGAGCTCTCCTGCCTACTGCCCACCGGGCACACACAGCTGAGACTGCGGTGAAATGAAGGCTCTCTCATTGAGCAGCCCAAGGAATGATAACCTGCTGACAACTCCAGCTTGGCCTCAAAGAAAGAGCCAGGAATCTCACAGCTTAGGAGTAACTCAAAACAGTCGCTCACCCACACTTCTTCACTTCGATGATACAAGGACACGTTTCTTTGTTTATATACTACTTAAGTTTGCAGGGATGTGGGCTGCATTTTCATTAGTTAAACTTGTAGTAAGTACATCAGACAAACAGAAAGGTCCCATACGTTAGAGGAAAATGCAGAGTCAAACTGAGCCTCTATTTTGATCTTAATGTTTTTTGTTCCACTTAAACCGAATGAGTTTGGCCCACAGAATTTTGCAGCAGCTGTGAGGTTCTGCAGTTAGTTTATATAAGCTTTACTGAGTTTATGCTTGTAGAGTGCTGAGTGGTTAGGGAGATACTACACACTAAATTCTTGCCTCTTTTGGGAAAAAAGTGTATTAAGCTGTCATTTTGTGTGCATAAATAGGAAATGTTGAATCAACTACTGACTTTCTAGACATGTCATTTGTTTTCCAGAGTCTTTTTTTTTTTTTTTTTTTTTTGAGGTTTGATAATTTACTTGATAACTTTGAACATTTGCAGGAAGAAAGCCATTGAAATGCCCTCCTGCCCGCTGCGTGGGGAGCAGCGTTGCTGGAAGGTACGGATGGCACGCACGGATGGCACGCACGTGTAGGGACACGGAGGCGCAAAGACGCGCAGGAACCTGCTCTTGCTCTGCTTGCTGGACACACGTTGAATGCTGCCCCCCAGAACACACTTCACAACTGTTCTATGAAATGATGTCCTCTACTTATTTCCCTCTACTTCCAAAGCAAGGTATGGTAACACGGTGCTTTATATCTTGGCAAGCTTTATTTCTACAGCTGTCCTAAAAGTCTATCTTAACCATGATTTCCATGTGCTAATCAAAAAGAGTGACATATTAGAAAGTACTTTAAGAAATCCTAGCCCATCACTATTAGCCAAAACTTACCACTATGTTAACAAATTACCTTTAAAAGAAGCAGCATTTGACACAGATAGTGGGAGAGCTTCTCTGCTGCCTACTACACTGTACCATGAGTGTCTACCAAAATCCCACAGTCAAAAAGAGATTTGTAATTCTGTGCAGCTTCCTTGTGCAGTATATGTATTTTTTATATATATATATATTTATATATATATATATATTTATATAAAACAAATCCTGTTGGTGATTGGTATCTTTAATAAGGCCAAGTGATTTACCAGCATCTCCTAAGTTTCAAGCAATAAAGCCTCCCATCTGTTAGAGGGCTGATCCAGCTTGTTCTCAACTTTTTTTGAGTCAGTTTTTACTATAACCTATTATCATTTGGGAGTAGTTCTCTCTGGTTTTATTTTTATTTTTTTTTAAAGGAGATAATATAAAAATGGTAAGTTATGAACCAGAATGAGGGCTACGGACTTCCTGGATTTTTTTTTTTTTTTTTAATGTAGGAATAGGGGTTCTAGGAGCAGGTAGGGTTCTCACAAAGAACAGAACAGAATACAATAGAATAGAATAATTATAGTTGGAAAAGATCTTTCAGATCATCAAGTCCAACTGTAAACGCAAAAGGTCCATCCATAAGCCCAAACAAACACATTTTGTATCTTCAATATATCAAGTTTCCCCTAGCTTGGAGAGGATTTAAACCAAATCAGAACCATCTAAATAACCACACAAAATCTTTTCTAAAGCCTTCACCTGGACATTCTACTATTCCCTATCTCTGTGAAGATTTCACTTGCTGCATCCTTCCTGTCACATTTGTCACTTCCAGGAGGCAGTGAAATGCATTCAGACTCGTGGTCTGACCTGTCCAACTACGGAACATACAATAAGCTACTGCAGCAAGCAGAGATTTCTCCTGCTAAGACTAAGCCCTCTTAAAAACAAGCCAGGTCCATGGATGTCTCAGTCTGTGCTTTAGTTCACATCACAGCAGGCAGCTGTTTCAACCAACAGAAATCAGGCCATCCTCTTCCAAACCACAAACATGCTATATCTTATTCGCAGTGAAATGAGACACACATTTCCTTTCTGGGGGACAGGTGGGGAAAATTATAGTGTCATTCTGAGAGTTAATTATTATATATTGTCTATATTCTTACAGTTTTTATGATCGCTATGAACAGACCTACTGCTTTCTTTTATTAACCATGAGGAACAGAGGCTTCACCTAGAGACCAGAAGACATGAATTTCTTTGCATGGAGTAGCACACTGCTTCAGCAGCGACTTGCTGTGTTGTGTGGGAGCTGCAGGCAGCTAAGGGGAGCTGCAGGGGCCAAGCAGTGCAGAATGCTACAGTGCTGGCTTGACGCTTAGAGGCAGTGAACTGCACCCTGCAGAAGCAAGAAGCTCCATGTGTAAATAGCACAAATATTGTTCTTGCACCCAATTTTTGCTTTCTTGTTTTAAAAAAAAAAAAAAAAGAAAGAAAGAAAAAATTAGCTAGAGCTATAATAGAATTCAAGGAACCACTAATCCTCCCAGCCACAGACTAGCTGATACAGGATGAGAATGCAGCCCAGCAAGCTATTCACTTGATGCCCTACTTGTTTAATATCAAATGGATATTTTACTGTTACCATTCTGGGTTTTGGTCATCAAAATCTCTGCAGGTATTTCAATGAGAAAAGACAAAACATTCAAGGTTTGCAGATCTGCCCAAGTGCAAAACATCGCATGTGCATTTGAAACAACCTCACTTTCAAGATCCGAAACTTAGCTCATCAGCTGTAGTTATGCTTGTCTTCCCAATACTCAAGCTGTGTTCTTGCTCCAGTCTGGCCCAATTCCTACTCCTCACCCTTCACTACATAGCAGATTTGTAACTCAGGGCCCAAACCTGCAGGTTGATGAGAAAGCAGCAGTGGGTGCCCTACAGAAGGTGTGCTGGTAGCCTGCCAGGCCAGCCCGTTACACCGTAAAGACCTTGGAGTTGGGACCATATCCCCATTTCTGCATGTGAATAACCAAGCACATGTACAGCTCCCCGGGTCTGATCCTGAATATCATAACATCAGCAGTGTGGGACCAGATGCTATATGAACAAACGAGAATCCGTCGTATTCATATAGCGCCTTTTTTTCCAAGGAACTCAAAGCACTTTACAATCTCTAAGCCTCACCACATGCCTGTGGGGTACAGCAGGGTAAGTAGGCCTGCAGCATTCTTTATAGAGCCAAGTACATTTATTCAAATGTAGCTGAATAATAATAATGCAACCATGACCTTCCATGACACTTACGTTCCTCAGGAACAATGAAACTGTCAGCCACAAGGGTGAGACTCATGAGTCTGGGTGACAAAACTTTTTCGGCAGCTGGCCCATGACTGTAGAACTCACTTCCGTAATAGATTAGGATGACCACGAAACTCACCGCCTCCAATGCAAAATGCACAACTCACTTCTTCAATTTCGTTTTCCCAGCCCATCAACAAACAAGCAAAACAACCTTGATGGAAAACAGGAGCCCCTTATAGGGTTTTGTGAGTCATGCCACAGTTTCTAGCAGCAATTATTGCTCCACTTGAGGATTCATTTAGCATGCTTCCAAAAGACCCTGCTTCGAGGATTTCATTCTTAATTAACTTCTGGAGATTCTTAATTCACTTAAACGAAATAAGATTATTTTTATAGAATGAACTTCTTTATAACTTCATTGCAGAGGGAATGTGGTAAGGAAGAGAAATAACCTTGGATTTCTTCAAAATATGTTTCTCTACACTAAGTTTTGAATCTGGATATAGTAAAAAGTTATATACCTGTTTCAAATTCAATCATGAAAGTGGAGGAGAAATTTTACAAACAGCACTCTCTCAGGAAAGAGAGGAAAGCAAAGGGAAATCACTCCACAAGAAATATTTGCGAGCTAAAAGATGCCAGGCTCCCCCTCTGGAAGTATGAATTTTGGAAATTTGGGGAACTAAAATATACTTACCTATAGAAAAAAAACCTATAAAATATTGATTCATATTGACACTTCAGCCAACATCACTGTCATGCCCATTGCAATGGCAGAGTGCATCAAACTGGCTGCTTCTCAGGGAGAGCTATTAAAACACAGAATTCCGTTTGCAGGTAATTCACCAAATTCAATCACCAGGTAATGGTAACACTGCTCTGCTTCCTAGCTGGTCTGCCACCTTCCCGTGACAGTTTAGAATACCAACTGAACAGAAACTACTACTCCTCACACAAACCTTTCTCTTGGCCACTCTGAGATGCCATTTTCCCCCCTTGTTTCCCAGTCTCCTTACTCTTTAGCAAGCACTCCTCCATCCCCTTATGCTCCCTCTGTGCATATAGTAAGGCTGGAGTTGCCACAGTCTCCTTAATGTCTAATCCTTTAACACTGGGAGAGCATTGTATTGCAGCCCTAATGCAAGGATGAATTCTGGAATGTGGAGCCTGGAGAGAGGCTTATAGAATAAGAAAGAAAGAAAAAGGGAAGAGGAAAAAGGAATTGAGAAGAGAAAGAAGTCAAAACCACACATGGGACAGAAGGAAAAAAAAGGGATTAGGTGACAATATCCGACTGCACTGAAGGGTCAGGAGAATTAAGCTTCAGAGCAGCTTGCTCAATGTGTGCTGGGATAAAAAGACTCTGATATGAATGGAGGTG